TCCAGTCCCATCCCAGCGAGATGACCCAGAAGGATACCATGGTAATACTGAGGCCCCTTCTACACAGCTGGATACAACCCAGATTATCTGCTTTGATCTAGATTATATGGCAGTGTAGACTCAGATAATTCAGTTCAAAACAGATAATGTGGATTATCTGCCTTGATATTCTGAATTATATGGCAGTGTTGAAGGGCCCTGAGTATCCTACAGAGCTCCCAATCCCTGGATTTCATAGGATAAAACATGACTTTTAATTTGGTGTCAAACTGGCATAACAAAACAGTACAAATACTCTTTAATACTATTTATTCTGTTATAAATGTGGATTGTTAAGCTTTTATTCTTGGGCTGTTTCAAGCTTCTAAGGATGAAACTTTCACATCTTCATTACATTCGTGAGTAGTTTCGTCTTTGTTCAAGTGCTGGCTAATACTGTGTCATGGATTTTGCACATGACACATCAAAGACTATATGTGTACCAGATTCCTAATTTACTGCTACAAATTTACTGCTTCAATAGTGTTGATACTGCCGTCAATGACTCAACGAGGTTAGATTATTTCCATAAAAAATGGAAGGAAGACATTTGGTATACAAGTAATCCAAGATGTCATACTTGGCAAAAAGTCTTCAGACAGGAGTAATTTATGACTGTTGTTTGAAATTGGAATACATGAATGCTACAGCTTTTTTAAAACACAGAATACAGAATATCTGCCTATAACTTCCAAGGGGGAAAGGCTCAGATTGGGAATAGCAATATGTTCTTCTTTTTCAATCCTAAGTAACATGTTCATGGGGGTTGTCATAAGGAAAGGAGGAATGTGAATAGTCTTCCTCTACACACTTTATCCAATCTGACATGAAACAAGGTGACCTTTCTAGCCAAGATTCGCAACAGACTGAAGGGTGTGTAGGTTCTCCTTTCACACATTTTAATTTTGCCAGGATTAAGGAAGGGAAGCTATTCCATATGTGCATGTTCTGTGTGTGCATTATACAAATAGCATTCCTAAACCATTATTGTGCTTTGGCATCCTCAAGAATACATCTTGATACTCTATATCAGGTGGCATCAGATTTACTTGTCAGAAAAAGTATGAACAACCAGAGAAGGAAAAATCCCTCCTCTGCTTCCTTTTTAATTACCTTTTGTTTAAGAGATCCGAACTCTCAAGTATATCACAAGGCATTTCCTTGTGCTCTGTTTTGCTTGTTTTGTTTTTTTAAATTTCTGTCAGAAATCACAACATCCTCTTCATTATAAAGAATTACACCTGACAACTTAGGAAAAATAAAAGTCAACCATCACAATAAGTTGGCCATCACACATCTTGTACATTCAGATGTGAAAACTGGGGGGGAGAACTTTACACACCACACAAATATATATAAAACATCACTATCTCTTTCGCAATAAACACTGAAAAGAAAACCGAGTATTTTACAATGCTTTCTCAGTTCTTATTGATAAGTTTCTGAAAGAGAGGTGTGAAGAAATGCCAACATGCGTAACTGATGGGGAAGGGCCCATTAGAGCCACTTTGTCTCCATAAATCCGGCAGAGTCTGTTTTTATTTTATGCAATCACCTAAGGTAATTACAGTGAAAAATTAAAGCCTCATGATCAAAATAACAACTTGTACACTTTGCATGTGTTGAGTCATGTACATAGCAACAGCTTCACAATGGGGAAACATTAATGCTTTTTATATTGGTAATCATCAGTAACACGAGCAATTAAGTACAGTACTAATGGACTATGGCCAAGAGCCTGGTACTAATATTAAAAACTGACAGAGATGAATAGGTTTGGAAGCAAAACTGGGCTGACAAAGACATTTTTATGAAGTGCTTGGACTGATTTGATTTAAACCAATCAGAGAGGCAGGTTCAGACCAGTCAGCCCTACAGCGACAATAATGCATTCATGGACATTGTACGATTCCTGCTAGGCTTTAAATAAAAACATCCATTGATTCAATTCAAGGCAACCTGTGCTTGCATTATTGCACTCATTAATAAGGCAACAGAAAAATTATAATGCATATCCAAAATAACACTTAGCAAACCCACCGGCAACGTTGCCTTGTTTTTAAAAATGAAAATGTTTACTGGAAGTGAGCCATACCAAATAAAAACATGAGTATGCCAACAATGCTTTCACATCATGCTCAATCTTTTGTTCCTTTTTCTTTCCTTTGTTTTATTGAAAGGTTGAGCACATGCCGCCTCTGTAACACAAGCAGTTGAATTTATGTGTAATTTGTTAAAGTATAATTTTAAAAACATAGTAGTTGGGATATTTTATTGTCAGATCATCTGTTCCAGATTTCCAAAAACTGATACCACCCCCCCACCCTCATACATGGACACTAACCCCATCATCTCCAGACTGCGTGGCTGAGGTAGATGGGGTCTGTAGTTCAACCTATGAGGACAATGCCAGCTAGGCTATAACACAATATTGTGCTTATTGCATTTATTTTACAAGGAGCAGTCCTTCACCGTCTAAGGGGGAGCTCCTTCCTAGTCCCACTACTAGAAATCTATTTATTGAAAGTGGCGGAATCAAACCTGAGGGCTGATGCCCTGCAGAGTTACACAATTGTTTCTTTCCAGTGAAATCATAGTAACACATCGTCCAAATGTTCAGAAAATTGTATGGACCATAAATCTATTACTAATGCAAATTAATTTTACGTGCAACATTTTCCACTTTTATTGAATCCTTTCTTTTTAAAAAGCAGTTTCTCAACCTAGTGATGAAGCTACTCAAATAGTCTAAACCAGTGATTCCTAACCTTTGATTCATCAAATGTATGGGACATCAGCTTCCAGAAGACCCAGTCCCACTATTAGGAATTCTGGAGCTGAAGTGCAAAACAGTTGGAGGATCCAAGGACACTAGCCTAAACCATTATCCAAAATATTTGCTAAGGACCATCCAGTGTGGCTTAGGCAAGGCTTCCTAATGCAGAACACTAGTTTAAAGTTTGACTAACTGGACAACAGGAAAAGTGCACCAATTTGCTTTAACATATTTACTTTTGAATTTTAAGTTTAGATCAATCTATAAAATTAGGCTATACAGCTTAAAAGTACAGTGAAATATTAGTATATGCTGAGGTTGGTACCAGGATCCCCCTTTTGCTTTTTGCAATTTTTTAAAATTCAATTTGTAGATGGCTGAATCTGTAAATACAGAGAGCTGGCTATAGTTGAAATTTGCCACTTTAGGAAAATCTTGCTGAATGTTGAATTGCTTCTGGAAAGTAAGAAGATTTACAGAGGTAGCAAAATACCAAAGAATTAGTACTTTCAAAGGAAAAGTCTAATTTTCAAAACAGACTGAAGCTTGTTTAAATAACTTGAAAGCGGAAACAGATAGGCGTAACAGTTACATATGGGTTAATTCATAACTTAGTTGCATTCTGTTTTTGTATTATGCATTAATTTTAAAAAATCTGCACCAAAATGATACTGACATCTGAATATAAACCTGAAAAAGCACACTTTCCTAAGTTTTATATCACAAAATTCAAAGAAGTTAAAACTCCAAAGGATAAATACATTCTGATCTGGACATTAGGCTTTGAGGTATGGATCAGTCTTGGTCTGCTATGAAATGCAGGGACTCGTTGAAATCCTTAAGCACTCTTAGCAAGAAGTACAACAGAACCACACGCCTCTATCCTCCAAATGATGAAAAAGAGATTCCAGATGTGGCTGCCATATGTCTTCTCTCCTTGACAGTATTCTGATACACCTGACTAATAGCCTTGAGATGGGGTAACATACTCAGGTCAAGCAAACCTTTCCTTCTCCTCTTTGTAACCACATGAAACAACTGATGACCCCTGTGGGTTATGTTACACTTTAAATACGCTTTTCATTAAATGTGCTTATGTCTTCTTTTTTAAAAAAATAAAAAAATAAGAAAATACCCAGTGAAGAATGTTTCAAAAAGCTGCTTATCAGACTATCTACCTCTATATAGCCACATCGTAGATCAGAGTTTTTAGTCATGTGAATACATGACAAAAATGGCATTTCTGTCTGATTATCTAGCTATACATCCACCAATCTCTGTAATGCAGTCAATAATTGCCTTCTACACAATATGGTACTGGGCTTCTTAGTGTGGCTTTTGGATAACACTTCAGAAAAGAAAAATACATCCAGTATATTTCCAAAAACAAAACAAAACCAAACCAAAAAGCATGCAATGCTATAAGATGGTGATAAACAAACACTTCCCTGGCCCCTACAGGCAACTAGTTAGTGATCTGGAGCATGAGATCATATTGCTCATTTCAGAGCTTGAAAGCACACATATTTTATTAATGGCCATATTTTTCAACATTCTTCTAAGGAAGCATCACAACCATATCATGTTATGCAATGTATGTCAGATATCTAAGCTTTGGACACTATTATTAACTCAGGGTACAAAATCAATGCTTATAAAACAGCAAGTATGTTGCACTTAGAAAGATAAATGGTTGTCAGCTGCAGGAAGAAAGGAGATGAAAGAACATGGAAGGAATAGAGAAGGAATCGGTCCCCACCCCACCCCATGTCTTATATTAGCTACCTCACACTAATTTGAAAATAGCTATACATTGTATGATGTGCCTGCAAATGTGGAATGACTTTGGAAAAAAACATGGCCAAACCAGTTATTATTCTTTTTTCCACCCTCAAACCATCATCCAGTTTACTCAATTGTTACAGCTTTTCTACTGGATGAGCTTTGGCACAATGATGGCATGAAGTAGCAAGAAATAAGATACACAATTGTTTGTCGCTCCCTCCCCCAGCCCCCCAATTTAATGACAATATATTATGCAACTGAACGGGTGATAGAATATTTATTGTGTGTTAGCAATTTCCCTCCACCCCCATGCCTCCAATTCCTTACAAAAGATTTTTTAAAACTTTCCAAATTAATTCTTCATCTTTATTAAACAAGCATTTCACATTTATTATCTTACCTTTCATAATGTCTACGAGTACATGTGGCTGCACTTGTGCTTCCAGGGTTACCACCTAATTCATCATAAATATGTTTCCATTGTCGACGGGCTGTTATCTGCAAAAGTGGCAATGGGAAATGTAATCTTGCATCTTTACAGATTTCTCTGTCTCTCTGTGCGGTGTTTGAGTTCATAGCAACAAATATATACATGAGACATTTATAATAGCATGTAATACGAGCACTGGTAAAGCTTTTGCAGAATAGATTGACTCTATCTATGGCTCTTTGTTAAAGCAAAAGATGCCAATTTGCTGATTTGTTTCACATAAATCTTTTTGTACAATTTGATTTTACTGCTTTCTCATTATCAAGCAATTTTACTATTTTGTGCATGCAATTTCTCGAGAAGGCGCTTCAATCAATCGAGGACCATTAACCATCAGAATGTATGCAGACAAATCCCTTGGTAAATTATGAAAATAAATCTCAAACTAAGCACAAATAATGATTACATAGTTATTTTAACTGGGTTAGTGAAAATGAATCCATTGCAAACCCTTAATCCATTACAGGCTCCCCTAAATCCTCATATAAACGTTGTCTGTGTAACTCTATATGGTACAAGCTGCTTATTTCCATCCACCAGTGTCAGTAAAATATATAGATCAAATGGTAATGAATCTAAACACTCTCCGAGGTTAATATCAGAGCTATGCTCTATATTTGGCTAAATTGAAGAAAATAAACATCCTGTACAGTATTAAGTTGCACACTATGGTTTCTATATGTGCATATGCAAGCAAGATATTCACACAGGGATCAATAGAATAATAAAGGGAAGATCTGATAAAATAATTGTTTTGGGATCACTTCATTATACATTATCTACAATATTTTAACCAGAACTAAAACAGGAATGGAAGAAGAAAACAATGAAGGCCTTTAACACTTTTTTTGCATGCAATTCAGAGAGGGTTTAGTGGAAAATTGTTTGATTTTAAAATTGTGGACAAATTTTCTCTTTTTTGAGGAATGCTGTGGTATTTAATATATTCAGGCCCACAGACTTCTTTACAGTTACCCACAGTGCTGCTGCCGGAGTTCACTAAGAAGCCAAAAGCAGCAATCAAAGAAAACAAATATCAAAACTTGCAATCTAGGAGTCTGTAATTTTAATCTAAAAGGAGGAGATGAGTAGAGCAGTTAAATATTATAGGGTAAATGGCGCCTTTCTTACTTCACATAAAGATAACATGCTTCCTTTGCAGAAAGCAGGCTTCTAAAGCAAAAGACATGTTATTTGGTGATGTTCTAATTTCAGAGAAACACCCTTGAAGCTTAGCTTTGTTTTGTTCCTATTAGACCAAACCATCACCTACTTCTAGATGCAGGTTAAATCAAAATGCCTATTTGTACATCTGTAGTACAAAATAACTCAAACTTTGAAAAAACTGTCACAGATGTAGGAAACTTACTCTATCACAACCTAATTCCAAATCTTATGGTCAGCTTGAAGGAACAACTCCAGAACTACACACCAAGGTAGGGAAAGTTTGGCTGCCAAGATTTTTTTAGACTGTGCTTTCCATTACCCCTTAATACTATTGGCCATTTTGAGTGGGGCTTCCAGCAAGATCTTTTGTATATATTGTATGGGCACACTGTGTTCAAATTGAAAATTATTCTCCTTCAGAACTATAGAGATGTTGTGCTTGTAGAACACAGAATCATAGAATCATTGAGTTGGAAGAAATCTTGTGGGCCATCCAGTCCAACCTTCTGCTAAGGAGCAGGAAAATCACATTCAAACTACCCCCGACAGAAGGCCATCCAGCCTCTGTTTAGAAGCCTCCATAGGAGGAGCCTCCACCACACTCCAGGGCAGAGAGCGCCACTGCTGAACAGCTCTCACAGTTAGAAAGTTCTTCCTAATGTTCAGGGGGAATCTCCTTTCCTGTAGTTTGAAGCCATTGTTCCGCATCCTAGTCTCCAGGGCAGCAGAACAACTGTTCCCTTCATGCAATGTCCTACCCAAAATTGAGTACAGTAAAAAAGAAACTGCTTCATCCCTTATGAGGGAACCCACACAATATGGCTGTACATATGACGATCTAGTGTTCCATTTATACACACACACTATGTGCAGAAATGTGCATAACAGGGAAGATCGGTCTGCTTTTCTAGTTAATGAATTAAGATGTCGTTGGTATCACCATGTATAATGTATGAGTATAAGCACTAGGAGCCTGGGAGACCAGGGTTCAAATTCTGCCATGGAAACCCATTGCATAACCTTGGACTAGTCACACTCTTTCCAGTCTTAAAGAAAGACACTAGCCAAGCTCTTCTGAATCAATATGGCTGACAGAACCTTAGAATACAGTAACTATAACTCATGTGTCGAAGTCAATAAATAGCCCTTCCTCTACCATGTATATACTGTTTCGCATAAAGAAAGGCAGGTTGAATATTCCTTATCCACAACAATGTTTGGGACCAGAAGTGTTTTGGATTTTGTCCAGATTTTGTAATACAAGTATTTGCATATATAGACATAATGAGATAGCTTACAGAGGGGTCCCAAGTCTAAACATGAAAATCATATATGTTTCACATATACTTTATACACACAATAGCTTGAAGGTTATTTTCTACTATGTTTTAAATGATTATGTGTGATTACATTGAAATATGAGAAAGCAAAGGTGTCAGTATTTCAGTAATCCATGTAGACAATTTCAATCTTTTTTTACTATTTTGGATTTCAGAATTACAGTTAAGGGATGCTCAACCACCTCCAGTTTTTATCCCCATTCCATTTTTTTGCAATCTGCATAGCTCTCAGAGGATTCCAGATGTAGAAAAATGGTCCCAAGATCCACTTTAGCTGCCCACCACAATATATAGGGACAAAACACCTAGTAACTTGGCATCTATCTATCTATCTATCTATCTATCTATCTATCTATCTATCTATCTATCTATCTATCTCCAAGGCAGACTCTGAAAAAATGACCACATTTGGATGATGTCAATCTAGGAAACAGGATGATGTCAATCTAGGAAACATCATTATGATCCTTGAGGGTTATATAGTTATGGGAAATAGTTATAGGAAGATGCTAATTCAAGTCAGCTACAGTTCGGAGAAATGAAGTGCCACAAAAGCCAATAATATATCATCTTGGATTCTGTGCCAAAAGTTGATAGTTTTAAAGAGCACTATAAAAGCGTGCTGTTTGATTGTACTCATTGTGCTGTTTCAATTAAAATCAAATAACTTTGAGATAAATGAATATTTTAGCAGAACAGATGCTCTTATTTCCATCTGTTAATGTTAATTTTAAGGTGTGGAAATGCTTAATAGAACATTTATTTTCAAATCCAAATCCAATTTGGTTTTGGAATTATGTCTGTTCCAAAATCAATAGGCAGCATTACTTATTTACCATAGTGATTGTGCTAAGTTATGCTGACATGGTGCTGAAATACCCAGTTCCTGGAAATCTTGACACTATGTCTTATTTAATTTTTTAAAAACAAAAGCCTGATGTCGTTATCTTCATTAAGGGTGTGAACAAGGCACTTGTCACTGGAGAGTTCAGAAATCATTGCTGCAATCATTTTAAGAGCACAGCCACTTACATGTAATATGACCTAAATCAATATTAAATCTTCTTCACTTGATGTTGCTTCATCAAAATCTCTCCCTTTTCTCTTTTCTTCCTTAGTGAAAAATGTGCCAACATTACATGATGGAGAGGTAGTTTGCACAGAACCATCTAGCAACTATTGTAACTATGATCTATTGTATAATATACTCTTTAGGAATTTGCTAGATCCTCCAGGGTTACTCTATGGGAATTTCTAGTCAAAGCATACCATAAAATCACCAGGAGGACCTAGCAAATTTCTAGAGTACATGTTTTGTTAGATAGGTGTAGATGGAGCCTGGTTACTTTATTCACAATAGGTCTACTGAACAACAAATCCCTCCATCACAATAATACCATGGAGGGCTGGGGATTTCTTAACATCTGGCAGACCATATCACAAGCACTTGATATGTTTCATTTAGCTCAATGGATCTCTAAGTTTGCTGAAATATGTTACATATTTTTTACCAACCTGCTGGAAACTGCAGTATGCTTCTAACTGTTCTATAAACTTTCAGATAACTTAATGCTGATTCTAAAATAAGAGATGTGTCTCTCATTTTGAATGATTGTTTAAGAACTTGTGTGCAATCTTAGTTCAAACCATCAAAACCTTGGGAATATGAAAGTTACATTCTGCTTTATCATAATCCATTGTAATAAAGGTAGCAACCTCTTGAAGGTCAACATAATTGTTTCTAGCTTCCGCTTATATGATTGTTACTACTACTATTGCTGCTACTATTATTGCTCAAATTGTGGAAAAGTTTCTTTTTTGAAGTATAGTTTCCAGAGTCCTTCAAAATAATTTTAACTGTGATCTGGTCAGATTCTCTAGGGATGTGGTTGAGTTCAAGTGGTTAAACTAAAGTCATTAAAAATGCGAAACAAAGCTCCCATTGTGGTGACATCTAGAAACCTGGTTTTAAGAGACTGTGCAGAAATCATACTTTGGAGCCAGTCATTGAGGTATTTGTTCTTACTGAGACAATACAAAACCAATTAAAGTTAGCAAATTTGAAGTTAGCAAAGTGTTAAATTGTGGAATGTAGAATAATCAAAAAAGAGCATCACTTCAAAGAAGTTTTCTTATCTATTTTGGCATACAAAAGGGGGCAAAAATATTTATTTTATAATCTGGTCTTTTGTAATGTCCATAATTAATAGATTGCTTAGTTTCTACATGGAAAAATGTAGAAAAATATGATAAAACAGAATGGGCCACTAAATATTAATTTCTTAAGGAAAAGAAAATTCAGTATATTTATAATAGTTTGGGACTTATATTATGTCAAAGAACAAATTAAGTTGTGAAGCCTTCTCTTTTAAAGATGCACGTTGTCTCTGACTGAAATGGTGCCCAGTCATGTTTATTCAAATTTGAAGACAAAAAAAACATTACAGCAGGTTGGGGTAAACCTGCTCTTGTTTTGGAGGTGCCATTCCTTCTATCTTTAA